ATCAGCAGGGCATCAAATACTTTTTTCCCTCACTGTATTATTACGTGCCAGGGACTCTAAGATGATAGGACAATAGTCCGAGTCCATAATTGGCAATAAGTAACGGCAAAGCAGTTATAAGTGACTCACAGAATTGTGCGCAGTTGCGTATACGGTACACGACTTCTTTGAAGGCATTCACCTTCAGCGAGCGCGATGCCGATCACACAACGCGGTTCGAATTCGACCCTTGGTCGATGGCTGCGCTATCGCCGCACACACGTCAAATAAAAAGCAAGGGACAAGTCCTTACTAACAACTATAATTTTTCATTGCTGGAGGGGTTGCCCCCAGTACCTGAAAATCCTGGCTCCGCCATTGCACAGTACAAGTCAATTGAGGTAAAACAATGTATTTTGCCCCCCAAAAAAACTAAAATACCACGTGGCGCTTTCTGGAGAAAAAATTTAAACTTCACCGCATTGATATTTTGGTGGAGGCCTTGATCGTCAATTCATAGAGGAGATATCGACACCTTCTTCCAAGTGATGTTGGGGCTCTATTGAGATCCCCCCCCGCAACTGCTGTCAGGGGTAGAGAAACCAGAGCTCTTCACGTCTTGAATCTATTTACGTTCTTCAGAGTCGCAGTGGAGGCATTCCGTGAGTGCAGATGACGACTGCGTCAGTTTCCATTGACTCGGAATGCCGTGACAATCTACAAGCTGCCAGGCATAATGGGAATTGATGTCTTTTCTGGGATCCGATTGCTATTGTGGTTAGTGGTAAAAATAAATGTAAATACCACCTTGCTCTGTACGTGTGCCGCACCGCTGCCAATGCAGCAGCAGCATCAATAAATCATTCCTCATTATCTGCTGCTTTCACCACTACGCGGTGTGTTTTTGCTCACTTGCAATGCTTTAAAACACGCGGCCTGCTTGTGTACATCTTCACGGCCCGTCTTCGCAGCATCTGTTAGGGTGCGTCACGGTGGCGAGATGTTAACTACCTCGCCTGGTATACGGGAGGTCGTGGGTTCGATCCTGACCCTGACATTTTGCATGTCTCTCTCCCCGTGGTCGCGTGGATTTTTCTCCGGGGCCTCCAGCTTTTCCCTCCACATTTAGAACCAGCATCACGCGTTGAGACCAGTGGTTCTTAACCTATACTGCAGCCGTGCAGCCCTGTGCTTCTCAATCGTAAAACAAAGTATGTTAATACATAGTTCGTGATTAAACAAAGTAGTTGCGCTTATGTGTGCGTGCTCAATGTGTTTCGATTATTTACCTTTAAAAAAAACCTGGCCATGTCTCGCACCTCCAGGGGGTGCACGCACCCCAGGTTAAGAATCACTGCCTTAGAGTTATTGGCTGCTATAAATTTCCACATAAGCCAATGCGTTGAGCTATCATTTGTGATAGGCCAGGTCGCTGCTGAAAAAGAGGTACATAGCTCAGTGGGCCTAACTTAGTAAAATATTTTTAAGTTTAGAATGACTTTCGTGAGAAGGATGTGCTCAGCGAGCCTTAACTGTATCTGGGCAACTCCATCTGAAGTAACCTATTGAATCCAAAACTATACTGACTCGCAGAGAGCGTTGTAAATTACAGGAACTCACAACTTTGACCCGCAGGTACAGGTTTATTGGAAGCAAGGTCAGCCACAGCCACACACACACAGTATAAGCCAACATGCAATATGCAACTGCAAATACGTGCAACGAAGTGTGTGTGCTTTTTTTTACGTGAGAAAAGTTGCCACCCGTGTTTGAGAAGTCCCCAGCACACGCCTCACGGCTGCGTCATTCTGACGTGGCTTTGCAACGATTAAGACCACATCTGCAGACTGTTGCCAAAAAGAGAACGGTTATTTCCATGACTTGTACTTAATTTTTTTTCAGAAATTCTCCATCGGCTTTACCAGTATATAAAGGCGTAACAGACCGCGTATTTCCATCAAGCCGGGCGGTGGCCTTTAAAATTCAGCCTGCAAGCTTTTAGGAATGTGGAATTTTTCACCAATGGCTCTCTGCCACCAATGCAATCGAGCACTGTTGCCGATGTCTGGTTGACTGAGGAGCTTCTACGACTGGTCGTCATTGGCAGCAGCAATGGGTGCAGATGGTGGCCACGTGACTCAATGGGGTTTGCGGTGACCAAGTGGTTCAGCAAGTTTAGAACGGTCTCATCACACCACTATGTCATCACTGTTGAACTAAGTCGGAACCTGGCTTTCGGCCACCCTTAATTAAAGAGGTCCACATTCAGTGACTTAAAGGTATCACAAACACTTGTTTGACCGTGTTTTTTTTTGCTTCTGCCCGACCGGTCTCTAAGACGCTTCCGTCAACAACCGACACACACGGCGAGCCGCCTGAGTGCGAGCGCCGTAAAAACTACCGGGTGAGAGGCAAAATTGAAGTGACTCCGGGAGTAGTTCTGTGGAGTCATCTTCCGGGGGCCCATTCCTGGTCCCTGACTGGAAGCGAGGCTCTGCCATAACCTTGGGGGGGGGGGGGGGGGAGTTCTGCACCCCCCAGACACGATTCATGGTAAAAGCGCGCACACAAAACGCGTGCGTGTGCTCAACGCATCATTTCCTTGGCCGAGTTGAAATCTGGTTTTAAAAGCAAACCGGTCATGCCTGCTGAGCGATTTGTGAGTGTAAAAAAAAACGACCTGAAGTTACGTAAAAAAGAGGCTCAATCCTTCACAAATCGGATCAAACGTCATTCATTATATATTCACAAAGATTCGAAACTGAGAGTGAGAAAAGGAAACGCGAGTGGGTGTGCACGGCAGTGACGGGGAGGGGAAGATAACGGCGACGGGAGCAGCGGAGGGTCGGGTGCGCGGAAACCCACGAAGGCTGCGACTTGGTGATGTAAGACAGAGGAGCAGAGAGAGGCAGAGCAGCCGAGAAGATAAAAGTGCGGCTCTTCATGTGCGGTTTCGCCCTAACCCACGAAGGCTGCGACTTGGTGATGTAAGACAGAGGAGCAGAGAGAGGCAGAGCAGCCGAGAAGATAAAAGTGCGGCTCTTCATGTGCGGTTTCGCTTTTGAATTCGCCGCGTTGCGCTCCCAAGGTGACGCCGCCGCCGACACCGCTGCGCGCGAATGCGATCATTCGTCGTTTAAACACAAATCGGTGGCGACGGTTGCGGAGTACGCATTCACCAGAGACCAAAGGAGTACGCATTCACCAGAGACCAAAGGAGTACGCATTCACCAGAGACCAAAGGAGTACGCATTCACCAGAGACCAAAGGAGTACGCATTCACCAGAGACCAAAGGAGTACGCATTCACCAGAGACCAAAAGGGCCAGTGGCTGAAACGCGGCCTGAGGACGCACGAGCGTGTTTCCGTTGGAACCGATGAGGCAGCGTGAATGTGGTATTTTATTTTTATATTGCGTATGCATGTACGTCGAACTCCGTTCGCGCCGTACATAGCCAACCGCGCTAATCGTTATGGCGTCAGACCGGTATCCGATTAAAACATTGGTGAACACCCAATACATGAGGGCACAACCCAAGTTAGATCTTAAAACACGCGAGCAACTGCTGCCGACCATTCAGGCCATCAAAAACAGCAAAAAGGGAGTGCAATTTATTTTAGTTCAAAGTAAAAAGCATTTGAATAATTAAACCTGCGTGGCATTTACACAAGTTAAAAATAAGGTGCTTTTTTAAACAAGAAATTGCAATCTACTCGGGCTATAGAAGACAAAAGAAGGCTGCTCTTGTTTGTAATACAGCTGGACATCAGGTGCACAACATTAACACGTCACCAACCAATCACAGTACACCTTTATAATGTAAGCTAGCAAAGGTCCAAAGCCAACCCACGTGTTCTCAACTGCATGCAGTAGGCCACAATTACGAATTCTTATTGAATCTGTGTATCTGGAGAGTCTGGAGGGGTACCACGGTGGCGAGATGTTAACTACCTCACCTGGTATACAGGTTGTCATGGGTTTGATCCCAATCCTGACGCCTGTACATGAGGAGTTTGCACGTTCTCTCTCCCTCGGGTGGCGTGGATTCTTCTCTGGCTCCTACGGTTTTTCCCTCCACATTTAGAAACATGCATTTAGAGTACTTGGCGGCAATATATTTCCACGTGATGAGTCACTTTGTGAAGCTATCGTCACTTCCGAAAAAGCGCGATAAAGTTCAGCGGGCCTTACCTCGTAAAATAAAAATATTTTAGTTTTATATGATAGTCCGTTGAGGCCTTCATCCAGAAGCCGATTGATCATCAATGATGAATGTTTGGCCAGGAAAGCCTCTGAAGACTCTTTTTCAGGAGGGCCATGCCGAGTTTTCACAGTCGGGGGTGATGTTGTTCAATCTCAACTCAGTAATTTCCACCCTAAATGTTCAGCATTGGGATGTTTTGGTCAATACCAGTAGTGACATTGTATTATTTTTTTAGCTCTGGGAGGAAACCGTAGAAAACACGGAAGAAACCCATGCAGAACAGGGGGAGACAGAACACATACAAACTCCACGCAGAAAACTCTTTGGTTCTTTCGGTAAAGTCACGCAGGTAGAAAAATAAAATAAAACACATATCACGAATAATCCAGCAGTAGAGCTGCTGAACCAGGAAGAACACGGCTCAGCAGTTCTACTGTTGAACCGTGTTCTACCTGGTTCTACTGTTCTACTGTTGAACCGTGTTCTACTTGATTCAGCAGTTCTACTGTTCTACTGCTGAGCCGTGTTCTTCCTGGTTCTACTGTTCTACTGTTCTACTGCTGAGCCGTGTTCTTCCTGGTTCTACTGTTCTACTGTTCTACTGCTGAGCCATGTTCTTCCTGGTTCAGCAGTTCTACTGTTCTACTGCTGAGCCGTGTTCTTCCTGGTTCTACTGTTCTACTGCTGAGCCATGTTCCACCTGGTTCAGCAGTTCTACTGTTGAACCGTGTTCTTCCTGGTTCAGCAGTTCTACTGTTCTACTGTTCTACTGTTGAACCGTGTTCTTCCTGGTTCAGCAGTTCTACTGTTCTACTGCTGAGCCGTGTTCTTCCTGGTTCTACTGTTCTACTGTTCTACTGCTGAGCCGTGTTCCACCTGGTTCAGCAGTTCTACTGTTCTACTGTTGAGCCGTGTTCCACCTGGTTCAGCAGTTCTACTGTTCTACTGTTGAACCGTGTTCTTCCTGGTTCAGCAGTTCTACTGTTCTACTGCTGAGCCGTGTTCTACCTGGTTCAGCAGTTCTACTGTTCTACTGTTCTACTGCTGAGCCGTGTTCTTCCTGGTTCAGCAGTTCTACTGTTCTACTGCTGAGCCGTGTTCCACCTGGTTCAGCAGTTCTACTGTTCTACTGTTCTACTGCTGAACCGTGTTCTTCCTGATTCAGCAGTTCTACTGTTGAACCGTGTTCTTCCTGATTCAGCAGTTCTACTGTTCTACTGTTCTACTGCTGAGCCGTGTTCTTCCTGATTCAGCAGTTCCACTGTTCTACTGTTGAACCGTGTTCTACCTGGTTCAGCAGTTCTACTGTTCTACTGTTGAACCGTGTTCTTCCTGGTTCTACTGTTCTACTGCTGAGCCGTGTTCTTCCTGGTTCAGCAGTTCTACTGTTCTACTGCTGAGCCGTGTTCTACCTGGTTCAGCAGTTCTACTGTTCTACTGTTGAACCGTGTTCTTCCTGGTTCTACTGTTCTACTGCTGAGCCGTGTTCTTCCTGGTTCAGCAGTTCTACTGTTCTATTGCTGAACCGTGTTCCACCTGGTTCAGCAGTTCTACTGTTCTACTGTTCTATTGCTGAACCGTGTTCTTCCTGGTTCAGCAGTTCTACTGTTCTACTGTTGAACCGTGTTCTACCTGGTTCAGCAGTTATACTGTTCTACTGTTGAGCCGTGTTCTACCTGGTTCAGCAGTTCTACTGTTCTACTGTTGAGCCGTGTTCTACCTGGTTCAGCAGTTCTACTGTTCTACTGCTGAGCCGTGTTCTTCCTGGTTCTACTGTTCTACTGTTCTACTGTTTAACCGTGTTCTACCTGGTTCAGCAGTTCTACTGTTCTACTGTTCTACTGCTGAGCCGTGTTCTTCCTGATTCAGCAGTTCTACTGTTCTACTGTTGAACCGTGTTCCACCTGGTTCAGCAGTTCTACTGTTCTACTGTTCTACTGTTTAACCGTGTTCTACCTGGTTCAGCAGTTCTACTGTTCTACTGCTGAGCCGTGTTCTTCCTGATTCAGCAGTTCTACTGTTCTACTGTTGAACCGTGTTCTACCTGGTTCAGCAGTTCTACTGTTCTACTGTTGAGCCGTGTTCTACCTGGTTCAGCAGTTCTACTGTTCTACTGCTGAGCCGTGTTCTTCCTGATTCAGCAGTTCTACTGTTCTACTGTTGAACCGTGTTCCACCTGGTTCAGCAGTTCTACTGTTCTACTGTTGAACCGTGTTCCACCTGGTTCAGCAGTTCTACTGTTCTACTGTTGAGCCGTGTTCTACCTGGTTCAACAGTTCTACTGTTCTACTGTTGAACCGTGTTCTTCCTGGTTCAGCAGTTCTACTGCTGGATATTTTTTTTCTGCCTGAGGACGATCGCTTGTGTTGCGATCGAAACATCGTGATATATTTTTTATTTTATTTTCTACCTACGTGACTTTACCGAAAGAACCAAAGAGTATGGATTCCTGCAGTGACGAAATCTTAAAATCAAGATCCACACAGAATGGCGCCCAGATTCAGGAATAGAACTCGGGGCCCAATCCTGCTGCGACACGCAGGCGTTACCACCGTGCCACCCTGCGCAGATTCCACGATTGCTTCGTGTGAACTCTTTAAGGCTGGAGAGCAAGCAGGCAAGGGTGGGTGAGAGACGAGGCTTCTGAACCTCGACACACTGTGATTGGCGAGGCTGGAGGATAATGGTGCGCACCTGCGATAAAAGATCAGAAACAACAGCTCATCACGACGGCTCTCCGGTGTTTAATCGGGATTTACCACGCGTCGTTTGTCACGGTGCCCGAGATTGCCGTCCACGTGCTGTAAGATTATTTTACGAATGCAGTTCCCCAGAGCTTCTTCAGAAAGGATTTCGTTCCCGAGGAAGCTCCGAGCACTTGAAACGACACGCAGGGCATCTTTCTGACGCGTACGGAAGTTGAACTTCTTTCGCACCGCACGTAGCCAACTGCGCTAATCGGGATGGAAACCCGGAAAAAAGCATTGGAGAGCTACTTGGCGCAAGCGTGAACAAGCAAGCCTCATAGCAGGTTTGTTAAAAGTATTTAAACAAGAGAGCCGCGCAACATTCCAACGGCGGTCATCACGGCCCAGGTGCCGCTGATGCCGCCCACCCCATTTCACCGTCACATCCTCCCGACGCAAATAAGGAAGTAAAACTCACATTTTATATGTATCGCGCCATTCACACTATGCCACAGTCGAGAGCCGTGCCCGCAAGTCTCCGTTCGATCTGCGAGGTCGTACGCTCTCATCCACACTTTAATCTCCACTCTCAGGGCACAAAACGTGCGGAGACTCAGACACAGCATCGAGCCGATGAAAAGTAAATTTGGGAGGCTCAATGAATGATATTGACAAATTAACCCAATAGAGGCCTTTGGGTCTGCCTGATGAATTGTTTCCCAGTGGCATTCGTTCATTAAACAAAGCAACCTTGCATAGGTTTTTTTTTACTACACCCGAGTCTTGCCGGAACACCGATGCCACTGGAAGCCCCTTGCGATATGGGCAAGACTAGCCCACTACGAATCACAATGGGGCCCAACAAATATAATCGTAGAACCTCACCATCAATGAGAGCAGGGTGCGGTTTGTGGTTTGTGAGTCAGGGCTAGAGGTTATTGTACATGGTGAAGAATTTAGGTAAAATTTTGGAGGTTTTTTTTTATTAAGAGCGGTCGAGTTATACAGCAAAAAGCTCTGTTACCCGGCACTCTACCTTCCGGAATGCTCTATTAACCAGTATCTGTCATGAAGGGCAATAAAAATCTTCCTTCACGTATCCGGAAACATTCTGATGGCCACCCGACATCTTGCCGTGCACTTCTCGTAGATCCGTTGTTGTTTAAGGGAGCTTCAGGAAGCTGCCGAGTGGTGGCGCTCGTGTCAGTACATAGAGTACTGTACTACTGTACACAGCACTGTACTATTGTATACTGTACTCTGCTACTGTATACTATACTCTAAACGGCACGACTGCTTCTCTACAATCAACTTAGAATGCTTGGCAACGGACGAGCGAGTACCTCTGTAAGAGTGAATTATTTATTTTATTGTAGTTAAAATGCAGGGTTAGTTTCTTTCTTGAAAAGTTTTATGTACTTGGAAAATGTGGTGAACCATAAGTATAACTCTGAGATGACCGACATATTTGATTAACCGGCACCCTCCGTTCCCCATGGAATGCCGGATAACGAAGCTTTTTTGCTGAATTAGTATTAGAAATTGGGGTTAAACGTTGAGGATTAAGAGACAATGTTAAGGGTTAGGATAACGGTTAGAACAAACAAAGGCAAGGGCTGATTTATTGGTTGGCGGTGAAGTTACGAGCAGGCGCTAGGGGATCGAAGTTAGCGGATGGGGTTAGGATCAGCGTGAAGATTAAAAGGTAGGGTTAACGTTCAGATTATAAAACTATGGTGTGGATTGGGAAGTTAAAGCTTGACTTGTGGTTAAGGGCTCGGAAGCTGTGGTTGGGCATAGGGACATGGTTATGAGAGAACGTCTAGGTTTAGTGAGAGGGGTTTTAAAGTTTGGGGGCAAATGTTTCGGATGAAGAGACGATGCTTAAAGCTGGGCATCACGACAAAGAAGGTTGGGGGACTCGGATCGTGGCCAGGGTCGGGTGGCCAGGGTTTAGAGGAGAGGGGAAGATGGTTTTGAGAGGAGGTTGGAGAGGCGACAGTGGACGGGCGAGGGGGGTAGAGTAGGGGAGAGGGAGGGGTGTGCCTGGGTCAACGAGGTTCACGTCAGAGGAGCCTGTAGAGTCGCACTTGGCTCTGTATGTCGGCGCGGCAGAGCGGGCACGAGGTGAGTAGCGCCCCGCAAGCGGCGCAGCAGCACACGTGCCCGCAGGTGAGGAACACCGTCTCCGGCTGGACGGGGCACACGCAATCCACCCGGGGTTACACACACGCAAGACTCGGTGCGCTGGAATTATTTTGTAGCGCGGGTGAAATCTATGCCAAGTCGTGAATAAAAGCCCCCCCCCCCCCCCGAGGATCGTTTTGCCCTCCACCCGGTGATCGTGAGCACGCTTGACTTCCCACAAAGAGGTGCTCGTTTTATCTGCCCCAGAGAGATGTGTTTGTATGCATGTGTGTATGTATATATGTGCAAGTATTCATTCCTGTGTTTGTACATTACACAGGCAAATGTGTATGTGTACATGCATGTGTACACGTGTGTATAGGTATGGTTGTGCATGTATTTGTATGTGTGCATGTGTATGTGAATGCATGTACGTGTATGTATTGAAATACATTATTGTGTATTCCTGTGTGCGCATGCACGTTTATGGATGTATGTATTCAAATACACACACGTATAAGTGTGTATTCCTGTGCGTGCACGCTAGCGTGGTGGGCCTGTAAACCTCGCGACAAGCGCACCCACGCACGCACCTTGCGCTCCATGCACACCACGCACTCGGCCTGCTCGGCCAAGGGCGAAGGAGACAGCGGTAGCGGGGAGAGCGGCGGCGTCCACATGGGAGACGGCGGCTCCGGCACGGCCGGGGCCGTCGGCTGGACCGGCGCTCTCCCCGTGGCAAACGCGGGCAGGCTGGCGAAGGTGGCGCCCGCCAATGCTGCACGCGCCGACGACGAGAACAAGGGAAGCCGCCCCCGCGTTTACGCGATGGGTGCAAGCAAGCAGTGGCGCCGGGGTGGGTGGTGTCGGGGACGCCGTGCGGTGAAGGAAGCGAGCAGAGTTGGATTCCGTCGCTCCCTACTTGCAGACTGATGCACGACTGCAGGCCCAGGTGATAAAATAAACTTGTGCTGCACAGGGACAGCTGGGCACCGGGGATGCCCTTTGAACTGTTTAGATAAATAATCAATAACCGGCGTTAATCTGCCAGCGGAAAGGAGGGCGGCGCTATTATCAACAACAAATGACTCAAATTTTGATTTAAAGCTTTCGTCACGTAGAAGGGAAACAATAAAATAATATTGTTTTATATTTGTATTACTTTGTTTCCCTTCTACGTGACTTTACCGAAAGAACCAAGAATATAAAAAACAAATGACTCGTCGTTATGAGCGGTGGGCCGTTTGCAAGCGGTGGGTACGTACCTGAAGGACCCAATTTCGCCTGCGACTCTACCCTCTGTTGGGCCCCGTTAATCAGCGCCACACGCACCTCCTCGTCCGTGAGCCCCATCTGCACCGACAGCACGCCACAAGGAAACAATCCGCCTCCTCTCTCTGTGTGTGTGTGTGTGTGAAGCGGCGATCCATATGGCGGATTTCATCGCTCCGTCTCTTTGGCGGACGTATACCCTAAACGAGCACGTTTGCCCCGTCCGCTGCACTCTACCGTTGGGGTATGTTTTATTTTATTGTATTAGATTGCAACAAAATTCGAGCCCGATAGAGCGCACCGCACGGCTCGCATGACCGGGCAATCACAATTGACGGAATACGGTCCCCGACGCAACTGGACCCATGCGAAGGAGGGTGGGGGGGGTAAAAGATGGGGAAAGGCCTCCCCACCCCCCTGCTGCCCCAACCAAGCGAGGGACGCCACGTAGGGGGAGAAAATGAAAGGTTAAATGGAGAGGGGGAATATAACCGAACTGATGAGGAAACCCTAGCGTAGATGGGGGAGGGAAGAAGGGGGGGGGGGGGAGGAGGGGGAGGAAACATAAAAACCCTAAAATCAAATAACGAACAATCAGCTCGTGAGCGTTCATGCTGACCATCCACCGCTCCAAGTTTCGCTTCCCGCTTGGCTACTGAAGGGCTATTCCCCATGTTTTCCAGTCCCTGTTCCACCATGGGGTCTTGACCGCTGACTACTCTGTCCCCTTCAAGTAACGGGAGTCCTGCCCAAGCCCACAATTCCTTCACAATCATCGCGTCTCTCTTTCTATGTCTCATGATTGTCGTACAAATAAATTGACGAGATGTAAATTGTGACCATCCTGAACATTAACCATCTCAGAGATCCTGACGACAAGTCATTACAATACCAAATGTGAATTAACTGCAACGAAATGTTAGAAAAACTTAATGAATGAGGCTGCAACTTTGGGGTGAAGATAATTACAGTAATATCCCGGGTTACGTCGGGGGATGCCTTTCCTGAAAGGTGCGACGACGAATATCGAATCGACGTCAATCAATGCGATTGACAGGATAGCGGGTGGAGGCGATCGATAACGAGAGGACGGACGATGCTGTCAGCGACGTAAGTGTGGGGATGAGGCGACACAAATCACTTCACAATCGGGACATATCTGTGGGAGGGAAGCAACTGTAAAAACGAGTGACGGACCGCGGTCCAAATTATGGGAGTAACGAAGTGGACGAGGGCAGGAGCAGCACTACACAACGGCAAACAAAGCACGAACGAGCACGCGAAGAAGGAGGGCGTACCGCAATCAGATCCTCGTGCGTCATCGCCGCCAGGGCGGCCAAGGAAACGCGATGCCGAGCGAACAGGGGGATCAGGCCTGGGGACCCAGTCTCGGCGAGGAGCTCCTTCAGCCCGACGTCCAGTAACGACTCCTGTTAGAAGCAAGCACACCGGGTCTCTCCTGTGTCTTTGGGACCGGGTGACTGGAGGTGGCTTAAGGCCCAAGCATTCTTAGTCACGGCTTAGCTCAGGCTCGAGTCTGGCTCAAGCGAGCTGTAGCTTGAGCCGGCTCTGGGCCACAGGGTCGCAGCTCAGCTCAGAATTTCTCAGGAGCTGAGCCTGAGTCGAGCCACGGCTGAGCCGTTCACTCGCGCGACTCTGAAAGCAGCTGAGCGGCTCAAGGGCCGAGTTGAGCCGTGTTAGAGGACGAGGCAGAGTCAAGATGTGATTAGGAACATGGCCCTGAGTGACTCATAATGGCCATGTTACAGACACTGAATCAACGCCACGAAGTACCCACATCGGAGTCGAGCTTGCAGCTGCGAGGTTTTCAAGTGTAGCAAGTTGGTAGAGAGTCATAGTCTCAGCTTCGCAGTGGGCGTTACATATCCCATGACGTCATTCACAAAAGTAGGCCATTGTGTGCCAACATCAAACTCCCAAATTGGCCAAGTTCAAAAGCTACACCGCAAACACCTCGATTGGCAGAGCAATGCCCCAGGTCACCCTTGAAATTGAGACTGTCCTGGCGTCTAGAATTCACATCTGATTTAACGAAATAAACTTGAAACTTCAACTTGAAACTCAGCCTTGTCACCAATGATTGCACGGAAAATTCCATCATTTTTTTTTTGCATTTAAGATCATCACTACTGACTTCACACATGTGTACTGTAATTTTGTCTACAAACAAAAAAACAATAAGTGCCCACCAATGGGTCGTCTGGTTTAATGAATCACAACCAGAATTTGCTTATTAAGCAGGGCAGACGTCGGATCAGTACCAACGCCACTGAGTCTCGCCGTACCGCATGTGCTGCTGCGCACCTATGCTGCAGTGGCTTATATAGCAAAGGGCAAGTCGATCATGAAAATTCGTGAAATCCTCTGGGTTGGACAGGAGAGGTGGCAGAACAGCAAGTAGGTCTGTGATCTCTGCTTTAGACCTTTAAGAGTTACCTCCTTGAATGAGTTAAGTTTTCTCCGGGTTCTCTATTTAATTCTGACACGAAACAAAACACTCCATAAGATCAAGTTGGCCTAACATTTCAATAGAGGACGCTTCAGAATAAGAGCGGTGAGAACCAGGAAGGCTTTCCTGTATAAAGTATCATTCCTGTCATTATTGCCCACAAAATTTACTTACGCAATTACCAACATTTCTATATTTAATTCATCAACCAATGGACTTTTTCAATTCTATATTTAATATATCTATTTTATTAGTTGTAATGGGATATCCCATTACAACTGTTGGGATCAGTATAATGGTATAGATATATTACCCTATAGATAACAGTTGTAATGTCTGCATACGTGCCACTGTGTGTTTGCTATGTACGTGTCACGTGACACATTGGACACTCTCACAAATGAGATGCTGCATCTTAAGGGGTTATTAAAATTAGGCGATAGGTTTTAAAACACACAGGCGTCCCTCACATAACGCGCGACGTGCGTTCGTGAAAAACAGCTCGCAAGTCGAATAGCGCTGTGTGAAGCCTATCTTCCCATAGACGCTACACGTTATACACGGGGGGTGGCGTTACCGAAAAAAAGTGAGTATCATTTTATTTAATAAGTTTAGTCCTGGATTTACAAAATACCTATGCAGCAGAACCCCCTTCTTAACGACGGTCCTTGGTTCCACTAAACCGGTCGTTAAGCGAGTCCAGGAAACAGGCCTGGTCAGACCACTTTGGAGTTCGCCGATTGGCCGAAATTGTCTGTCGCGTGCTCGTCGCCCGTCGTTAACAGAGAAATGGTTGGTACGCTAACCCTCTTGAGGCCCTATGGAGGCCCGTTTTTAAGGGATTAGTCGTTAACAGTAGTGGTCGATAAGAGGTGTTCTACTGTAAATGTTAACCTTAATAATATGATTAACATTACAAGCAATACTTAACATGGAGTTTAATAACAATACTAATTAAGATTAAAACATTACTTCATAAGGAGTAACTTCAGGGCTTCCTGAACGCTTCTGTGGGCTGCTTGCAGCAGCAGTGCGCATAATGCAGAGGCGGCAGATCTAGGATAGCTGTGACACTGGGCGGTGCCATGACACGGTGATACCATGAAAAAGTTTTTTTGTGTTTCGTTTAAATGTTATAATTGAAAATTATATAATTTTTTAAAGATGTAATTTTACAATTTTTATAAAAATATATATATATATTGAGCGCGTAAATGTGGAACACATCGTGCAAGTGTGAAGTATGTCCCTAAAAAAGGAATCACGTAACTTCGAATACGCGGTACGGTCGCATTACACGAGTGACGCCTGTATTTAACAAAAAAATAGCTTGCGTTTATTAAAGGCAATCGCTGGAACGGCCATGATGTTGCCAAGTGTCATTGGCAGGATGGCGGCCACCTAAAGCATTGCCGCATGGTGTTAAAAACGGTGCGCTGTGCGTCGCTAACCTGCAACCGCATAGGCTGGGGCTTGGAGTGCATCAGGCGCTGGTACTGCACAAGCCAGTAGTCCATCGAGTCCTCCTCGCGCTTCTTCTCCATCTCCTCCTGCACGGGGCCATCACAACAACAACGATATCAATAACGACATCAAAAACGACAACAACAACAACGCAGGTGGAACAAGAGTTGGGCCGGCCGAGTGGATCGAGGGGCACGTGCTAGGTTGATTGTTACATCACAGGATTTGGAGATGGCGACGCCTTTTTGAGGCCTTCATCTAGCAGTGGATTCATCATCATCATTATTATTCCTACGCTTGCTTAGCCCGGAAGGCCTCACCGACTCTCAAGGCTAACTTTTAGGAGGGTCATGCCATGTTTTCACAGTCAAGGGCGATGTTGCTATATGCAATGCCAATCGAGTAATTTTCAGGTAAATTTTCAGCACTCAGATGTTTGGCCAATGCCACTTACATCATATGTTCTTTTTGTTAGCTATGGGAGGAAACCAGATAGCCCGGAGGAAACCCACGCAGAACAAGGGGGAAGAACATACAAACTCCATGCAGAAAGGCGCCCGGGTCGGGAATCTAATCTGGGCCCTTTTTTCTGCAAGGCACGAGCGATACCACTGGGATCATCGTCGTCATCGCGGCTGACGATGACGATGATCGTGGCGACGCTAACGAAGACGAGCGTTGCACCACACGCTCGGCGGCTGGGATGAGGACGACGCTGTGCTCCTCGGCTCTGACACCGATGTGGAAAAGGAAAAAAAAAGAGGGGGGCAGAGTTCGCACTCACAAGCAGATCCTGCAGCTGTAGCTCCCGGGCACCCTTCTCCTTCAGCAGCTGGTGCAAGAGGTCCCCCAGTGCCTGCCGCTCCTCCACCAGCACCCCCTGCCACGACGCACGCGAAGAGGGGCCATCCGGTCAGTGGTGGCGAGATGCGTCGCAAACCAACGACGGCGCATCTTCGGGGCCATGTTCTTCGTCACGGATCAGCTCTGGCTCGGCTCGGTTGCTTCGAAAGACGCAACGAGCGGCTCAGCAGTGGCTCGGCTAAGGCTCGGCTCGTGGAAATCCTGAGCGTGGCCGAGACCATGCTCAGAGCCGTGGCTCACTTGTCGCTGAGAAGCGCTCACCTGCATCTGCTCCTGGTTCTGACCCTTCCTCTTCATCTCCAGCATAGAGATGTGAAGCAACTCCTGCTCGATGAGACCGATCTGAAACGAGACACAGCGAGGCTGAGGGAGCGCATCAGTTACGCGTGACCACAAGAGCCACCGCTGAATAAATCAGAATAACAATATTTATTTATACTGGAGAAATCCGATGAGCTATAAAGCTCTTTTTCACAGACGGCCAGTAGGGGCTGGTAAGAACGTTACAACAGTACAAAGACACGATAGTAGTGCAAGAAAGGTGAACAAATCAACCAAAGACATTCAAATAAAACTGAACCATTCCCATCCTACCAAGCAAAGCCCTCTGAGGTATTCACTTATTTTTCAGGAGCGATCTGGCCACAGATGATAGCCGAGACGCAGAGCCGCCACCGCAGCCGAAACCCCCGGTTCCAATTTGGGCGTCAGCAGCGGGCAATAAAATCAACTCGCAAGGTTTCAGCGAGTTTAACGATTGGCATCCGGTCGCAGCGCAGGGAAAGCATTTGTTATTAATTTAATTATCCAGATTCCAGATGAGGGTTAAGTATTTTGCTTCGATTGACGCGTGTCACAAACTTTTCAGAGAGCAAGAAAGGGCGCCGTCTAGTTGTAGAGTGAGGCGGTGACCCTAGAAGTCGCTGTACCACCGTCTCTTGGCTCGCCAGATAATTTGCAGTCAAAGCAAAAGAAGGTTACTCTCCACTTGCACGGGAATTGTGAGCCTAAATCTTATCGGCAAGAGATGTGGTTCTCAACAAGCGAATGCCACAGGATGCTACGCTGTCACGGTAAAACCTTCATAGGTTCAAGTTTTGACGACTGAGACATCACCAGAGTTTAGCCCCATTAAAGCAATACCATTGGATGTCCCGATGTTCCACGCAAAAAGCAGACGCCAACCGCTTTGCCATTAACAAGCTATTTGGTGATATTGCATCGGAAGTGGTGCATAAGCACGAGTAAACAAACACTCGCATTCGTCAATATAACCGCGGCCTTAAAAGGAAATGCATAAATAACTATTGAAACGGCCCATCGTCATCGCACATGAAGGAGGGTCGTTGCCCCACAACATGCGCTACGAAGTGCAACTGCCCAAAAAGTCACCTTGTTATTTAAGGCCGTGGTGTTGATGACCAATGCGTCGATGTCTTTTTTTGACATGAACAGATCAAACAAAACGGGACAAGTCTGGGAGGTGTCGTACAACACTGCGATGCCGCCGGACCTGATGCCGTATCCTGGAGTGCCAAGCATCTCGTTGTAGCTGGAGCATTTCAAACGCCTCCTTTTGTATTAATTCCTGCAAAGACACAAGAGCGAATGGCTTTCGTCGAGTTTCCTATTACAACGCTTGGCTCGCTGGTGTAACGTCGCGCATTACAAATCCCAACTCGACGAATCATCCCTTCAGGGGACATAACGTGTGGTGCCACATTGTGTGACGTAACAATTTGGAATTTCTACCAATGGCTCAGGACCGCCAATGGCGTTTGAGCAGCGAGACTCTGGAGGATCGATTCGAATGTGTTGGCGAATGCCCCTTTCTGTAAAAAAAAATCATGCCGATAGAATGGGGCAAATCAACAACCTTTCATTTTATTTCGGCACGATGCTAATCTGGTCACGTGACACTTTTAAGTTATGTATGGCTATATCGCAGTGTAAATGATAGAGGTGATGAGGTATTTCCAGTTAGCCCTTTATAAACACATCAAATCCAGCAATGCTTGGACGAAAATTAATTTTACAAAAATAGCAAAGCTGGGCGAGTTCAAGTAATTTGTTATGACCAGTCAACTTGTACACACAGAGTGCGCAGAGTTAAAAATTAACAAACACGTTTTGGTAATATGCCAGAATTTCTAACCAGATTCAGATGCCACTCGCCACTGCTGACGATGTGCATCAAGGCCAGGAATTGCACCACCCAGGCGTTCATAGCACGGTGGGTGAACAAATAACCCCGACACAACACACGGGGGGAGGGGGGGGGGGTGAAGGGTGGGGAGGCTTCAGCAATACCTCCTGCAGAATGCTGGCGATTGCCTGCTTCTGCCTGTCGTGCCTTCCACTGACCACGCACTGCAACTTCTCTTCTTCCTCTGTCAAACTGAAGGAGACGGGGATACGCCTTGAAACCCACGCACGCTACAAAAATCACCAAGCACCGTTGCCATACACTACTTGCCTGGACACCGCACGCGGTTCTGTGCCAGATATTAGGGGGTACGTATTGTAATCGCAATACCACTGGGTCATAACGTCGCATCAGAGAAAGAACGTGGAAGTCGACGTGCAAGAATTACCTTTGAAATAACTTAATTAGGCATCGTATTTCAAGTCGTCAGGTTCATAGCGTAACGTGCTCACCATTTTCCTATGAACACGGCGAACTGAATTAAATTTCCAGGCATCGCTAATATCAGCGCCGACTGATATCTGAACCGGTCCCGGGCATCCCCTTTCCCATCCCACGTTAAGTAGCAAGGACCAGTGTGCGGTCACACCCACATTCATTTTGCTGCTGTAAATTTCCACCTTGATAAGTCACTTTGTTGAATTATAATTTGTGGCCAGGTCGCTTTTGAAAAATAAGTTAATACCTCTGTAGTGACATCGCGGATGTCACTGTGTAATGCCGGCCCTAGAGAGGCACAGCGTGCGGTGTCTTGACATCGCGGGCACCACTCACATGTGGCTGCAGTACCGCCCCTGGAGGGGCTCGGTTAGCGCTGACTGACAGCGCTGGATAGCACCACGCTCTGCGTGCAGTGCCGACGCCTACAGGATAGGGTGTGAGAATGCCGGCTATGGGAATGGGGTTATTAAGGGCCATGGCACTCTGGTTGACCCCAAAGGACACGTGACTGGTAAAGTCTACACAGGGCCCCCAGGTGGGGGCGAGGGGTGGTCACGTGTCGGGCCGGAGATCCTGCTCGAGGGTTCTCGAAGGTGGTCGTGGCCAAGGGCGGAGCCAGCCACGCCACAGAGGATCTAAGCCGGGTCCCCGGGAGGGACCGGCTGCAGTTGTTCATCCTGAAGAAATCTACGTTATACGTTTCACGTCCTACAGAGTCTCCAACACGTGGACCTGGACCCAAGCTGTGGTCCGGTCCATTGTAGCGAGTTACCGTGTAATTAGTGCAGTTAGCCTGGTGGTCCACAGCCATAGGTTGTTATGGTGTCAAGGGGCGGTTACGCCGTGTGTTGGTGTTAATGTGTTGCCTCCAAAGAGTACGTCTGCGACTCAGTTGAATCCACTACACCTCAGTGGCCTCTTTACCTGGCAAGATAAACATATATTTAGTTGTATTTGTATATTTGTAAGTGAACTGTTTGCCTTCCCTATACTTTGTACTCCAATCATGCTTGTGTATTGTTTGTTGTAACGTTCTGACCTGCCCCCACTGGACATCTGTGAAAAAGAGCTTTATAGCTCATCAGATTCCTCCAGAATAAATATTCAGATTCTGACTGAAAGACGTAGGAAGGTCTTCACCCAGCAGTGGGTTTGTAAAAGGGCTGCTCTTATTTATTCACAACCCTTACACACCGTCCAGAAAGCAATCCTCCAAATGCTATAACAATTGGGTTTCTAAGAAAAGTAATTGAATTGACTGCCACTGATGTGGGAATTTAACAGCTGTGGGGCTTTGATTTAAAGCTTTCGTGACTGCAGGGATTCATATTCTTGGTTCTTTCGGTAAAGTCACGTAGAAGGGAAACAATAAAATAATAAAAATATAAAACAATAAAATTCTCACGACAAAATAACCGCCACTTTTTTCAAATTTTCTTGTTATGGTTTTCACACCTGATGATGATTTCTTGTGTTGCAGTCGAAACGTCGTGAGAATTTTATTGTTTTATATATTTTTTATTATTTGTTTCCTTTCTACGTGACTTTACCAAAAGGACCAAGAATATAGCTGTGGGGCTATGTGGTGGACAGCAGAGGGCAGCGCATGCTAAATTCATGGAAGCAACTTTTATTCTCCCACACCTATGCTCCCCACCTTCACTAATCAACACTGACCGGCGTGGCGAAGTACGGTCAAATAGCTCCCCACCGACCCACACCAGCAAGTGGGGGGGGGGGGGGGGGGGGGGGGAGGGATTCCCATCCAGCAGTGGTGGAACGAGAAATGGTACGGCGCATTCACCCACCGATCGCCTTCGCGCCGAACCAAGTTGACGAAAAAATAAAAAGCTCGGCAAAATGCGCCGTGTTAAAAAATCCTGGACACGGGGCAAAGAGGGTGGCAAAACCAGGCAGGGCGGCCTCGCGAGTGTGGGCAGGCGGGCAGGCCGGGACCCCACCTGCTGGCGGCCTGGTCACACAGTTCATCCCTCTGCCGCTGGTATTCCTGCCTCAGCAGCTCGTTGGACTTGGCCTCCATCAGCATCTGCTGCATGGCGGCTGTGGGCACACGAGGCACCTGTGTGTGTGTGTGTCCACGAGCCTCGAGGCTCAGGGGAATGAAACGATGTTAATTGTGGGTAAGGGGTCGGGGGGTTTGTAGTTATCGTCTGGGGGGGGGGGCGCATAATGAATTGGGTGCATAATGAATTCATTGATTTTTGTATCTTAATTGTAAACTATTGAAAATTAATTAATGGTGAGAATAGGTTTTCCCCTTTTTTTCTGGCAACAAAAAACAGGTGCTAAGATGTTAAAACACCAAACTGAAACCTTTTACAAGGAATAATGTGTGCATGAACCACAATACTTGTGGTCAGAATGCAAAAAAAAACCACTGAGAGCATATGCATTGTCTTTGAAACTGATTAGTCCACACCAGAGACAGCTTTCTTTCGAGCCTAGTCTCAAACGGTGTTAGACCAGAGGACGCCAAAAGGCGTTCAGCATAAAGACAAGTATTATCAGAGTAATGAGAGCTCGGGGTGAGCAGCTACATCATGATGTAGAAAGCTGTCTCTGGTGTGGACCAATCAGTTTCAAAGACAATGCATATATTATCAGTGTATTTTTTGTTTGCATTCTGACCACAGGTATTGTGGTTAATGCACAGATGATTCCTTGTAAAAGGTTTCAGTTTGGTGTTTTAACATCTTAACACCTGTTTTGTTGACAGAAAAAAGGGGAAAACCTATTCTCATATTTTGGTACTGGCAAAGGAGGTCCCATAAATTAATGGTGTCCACAGTTTGGGTGGGGCGTTGCCAGCGTTGCCCCTCCCCCGCCCTCCCTACTCCGCTATTGCCGGGGAACGGTGGGCATAGGGGTATTCACGATGCCTCCATAAGCCAAAGGAAGGTCGGAAACGACAACTCCCAGTTCCCAGTTGGGACAAAAATGGAAAACACGACAGAGGAGACAAGACACTGGCGGGCGGCCACACGTGCAGCTAGTGACATAAAATAAAATTAAAAAGCACGATAGTCGGGGCACAAGGTTAGAGTCGCAGTTCGGGGTACAGTCTTCTTTTGCGTGGCATTTGTAAGCAACCGACCGAGTTTAGAACAGTGTGCGGTGGGTTTGGAAAGCCACTCAATGATGTGTGTAGCCGCCTGGTGCGTTGCATTTGTATGGTGTACTGGTTAATGATCGGTGATGTCATGCTTTTTGCCGTTTACAGAGACTCCCATACAGACCCACACAGAGACCCATGAGCTCCACAAACTTCGGAGTCGGTGACACAAGCCATGGGACCAACCCGGTGGGATGATGGCACCTCGTACCCAACCCACGCAAATGAGCCTTGGGGGGCTGTGTTCATCTCCCGTTTACAGCCATGAGCCAGTGAATGAAGTCAAATAACCACTGTTGACTTCCCTACAAAGTGGTACTTGATTTATCTACCCCAGAGTAACTACTGGCTGAGTCCCATCCCCAACCAGGATGTGAACTCGGGACCTTCCCACTAGAAGCCGCCTTCGCTCTACCGCTGAGGCATCCGGCCGCGGTTAACTGCAAAGCATTGGACTGTACAAGGTGTGGAGACGTAACGGCCTCACCAGCCACGTCGTTTCTCCTCAGCGCCGATGTCTCCTCCTGTGTGATGCACACCAAAAGCTCCATTTCCAGCCTGCGCGCGCACACACACACCCACGCGCACACACGCACACACGCGCGCACCACAGCACCACGAGCAATCCACGTGCGGCCACGCAACATACAGAGGAGACAAAACCACAGGCCCAGTGCAAACGGGAGGCCAAACTTTGACGACACCGGTTTGCTTTAGCCAAGCATCATACTTAAAAGGATAATTTGCCAACATGCGATTCGGGCAGAGGATCTAGTGACTTCTTAACCATCAGTGAAAATCTATCTGGCTCTTTTCCAAAAATCCTCGTGCCAATCTAAAGTGCCTGCCACAACTAAACCACAATACCTTGCTGATCTCGTCAAGGAGAATGAACCATCACGCAAACTCCGGTCATCCTCACAGCGGCTTTTGGCTGGCCAACGAACAAAGACGGTCACCGCATCGCGCGCTTTCAGACGCGCTTCTGCGGCAGTCTGAAATGCTGTTCCTTCCGACAGTGGGAAGTCACTGGAGCTAGGTACTTTTAAATCTAGATTGAAAACTAATTTTTTAAGAACTGCTTGTTGTGTTTAGTTTGCTGTCCTTTCCCCGCACCTCCAATTAGTAAAGTTGGCTACGTACGGTAAGAAAGAAGCTCCATATACATACGTACAACATGCACGTGCAAGTGCACAAATCAAACGTCGGGACACATTCACAGGTGGCCAATTATACAGAAGGAAAAAGCCACCTCTCTCTGTCCATGGCCTCCTGGAGATCTTTCTTTTGTGTGAACCTGCAAACAACGAGACAGAAACACTTACCTAACTTTGTCACAACGCCCACAAACGCAACGCCATAGGGCAGGACGCGACACTTCTTGATGGGACGGCTGAATCACATTACCTTGCTCATTCTCCCCACTGTTAGCGACGGAGACAACAGGCATCCCTTCCTCCAAACGTCGGACGAAACAGAACAATCGCCAGCACGACGATCGGGCCGTATCTCTCATCTCAAGCGAGAAGCGTCACTCACGTCTACCAGCGCTCCTGAGCGAGTGGTGGCAATTTCCGCATGACTATGGTGAGGGCTTAGCTGCTTGTTCTGTGGAAAGACCGGCTCTTCCCCGACGAATGATATTTTTTCAGCGATGGGGCAGCCTGTGCCACAAGACAAAGTAGCCATTCAGATCTCTCAGAGCAGCGCAAACCCTTCGTGTTAGGAAACCTTCGTACGGGAGGGTACCAAGCTACCCCTGAGGTCTTTTTCAAAAGTGAAGTCTCTATTCCACACTGGAGGGGTGGTGCTTTCGTACTCACGATGGAAAATTCCAGATAAACAAACACCCCCTTGTAGGGAATTTCTACCAATGGCTCAGAGCAGTGGCTTACATGAGTTTAAAACCAGAAAGCAACACACGAGGTACCTCACTGGGGGCCATCTCTCAAAGTCGAACGCGACAGCTCTCAATGGGCCGGTGCCTCGTTATGAGAGTCGACCACCTGCCCATTTATCCCACGAGCTCACGCCCACACCCGTACCAGTCTCTCTTGCTGAGGATGTGCGACACCAGGTCGCCCGCCTTCTTCTCCATGCGCAGGAGCTCCTCCGTCATCCGCACGCGGGTGGCGTCCTGACGCCGTCGCTGCCCGTCCACTTCCCTTTCCAGCTCGGCCAGACCCTGCGCAAACAGCCATAGCCTTTAGCAGACTGTTGGGGCAAGTGCTGTTTAGCGAGCACCTATGAAGGCTGGAACGGCACACGAGGGGGGTGGGTGGCCAGCACCATGCAAGGCCACATTTGTCTGATTTTACAAACCGCACTAGGTATTCATTTGAGGCCGAGTCGACCGGTTCAGACACTCGTCACTGGTGTCGGATGTTAGCGGGAATCGAACTGGGGTCGCCGGGTTCGTAGTGCAGTGCGCTAACCGCGACACTACCGCTCCCAACACACCAGAACAGACTCAGTGGTAACATTCGTGCATCACGGCAAAAAGGACCTGGGTTTGATTGTTGGCTCGGGTGCCTGTGTGGAGTTTGTATGTTCGCGCCCTGTTCTCCATGGGCTTTCTCCGCGTCCCCTGGTTTCCTCCCATCGCTAAAAACATACAATTTAGTCCAATCGGTTAATTTTGGGTAAGGCTCATTGCGCCAAGAAGCTCTTTTGTAAATGGCGATTGGTGTTGGTCACACATCCCAAAGCAGGAACTTCAAACTCAGTGTAACGTTATAGGGGAAATAATTACGGTAACACGATTCACGTCTCCCCTTCATATTTCGTTTTACAAATACGTTGCCATTTTATTAACACCGCTAGCCGATTTGTGTCGCCTCAACCTACAGTCTTATGTCGCCATCAATTCTAGTATCTGTCACCTCTCAGCCTTCGCATCCACCTTCCCTGTACATGAACCACTTTGTGTAGCGCATAAAGAAATGTACCGTACTGTAGGGTACAATATATTATTCATGTAGTGTTTGGCGATTGTTTATTATAGTGTACTGTATCGTATTGTACCCTGCATAATTTGTGATAAAGTTGACTGCTGTTACACTGGTGTTGAGTGCAGCATTTTTTATCACTTAATGTAACGTTGTGGGTACGTCTACAGCTTCACCGTACCCTCCGTTGTGTTTAGCTCACGTGGCGTGCAGACCACGATCGCTTTTATTGAAGTCGTTTCGATATTCGTCGCAACTTTCTAGAACACAACCCCCGATGTAAACCGAGGCATTGCTGCATTATAATCGTTATAATTGTTTTCGTATTCTGACGTGACGCCAGTGGCACAGGTGGGAACAAGAAAAAAAATCCCCGTTATATTTCCAAGTAGCCGTGCCTAACCGTGTCGCGCCGAGCAGTGTATTGTGACGACCGCGCAATGGGTGTGTGGGCAGAGCGAGAGAAGGAAGTCGCGTCCGTTACGATGCCGCGAGGGTAGCAACTCGAGACCTCTTTGACCGAGTGCAGCAGCTCATCCCTCTGCAGCGTCGCGTCGTTCACCAGCAGCGCCATGTCCATGTGCTGCTGGCCCAGGGCTCGCTCAAACTCCAGCTGCTCCTTCCGCCGAATCTCCTGGAACCGCGGTGCACGCGTTTCACACGGCGACACCAACCAACCGGTCGATCTTTATTTTTTTACGTGCCAATGTCGCCCTCAAATGAAGCAGCCATCGGCGCACATGGCAGCAGAGCGGGAACGGCACACGGGCATGGAGCAACGGGAATGAGAAGAGAACCCCGTCACGACCCGCAGCGGCTAACGCCGTCTGAGCAAAGTAAATTTCAACCGCGCGAAAAATAAAGTGCAACCGTGCGCAAACGAATAGCATAGGAAAGGTAAGTAGTAAATACAAATGAAATCAATGAAAGGTAAAGAAACGGTTTTTAATTTTACGTGGAAGACAAGTCTGACTAGGTGTGTCTTGCAAAGACCACAGAATTCAGAGACACTTGGCGCGTTTGTCATGTCCGGTAGCAGGCAGCGGGGTGTTCCAGATTTTTGGGGTTGCTCCCGACAGCCATGGCCTCAACAATCATGGGTGGTGATGTGGCCTTAAGCTCGCGATGAATCGACACTCTAACTTGGCTGTCAGATCGACTAGGAGCAGAATCGATACAATAGATGCCTCGATTTTACTTTCTTCCATATATGAGCTGATCTGCGCAGGAACTTTCCTCCAGGACAAAAGAGCGTTATAACGAAACAGCGCTAGAAGAGGCACGCCTGCACTAAGTTGGGATGACACAGAAATATCACCCCGAATTCCAAACCACTACAGACTATGTCTGTGGAATAAAGCGCCTCCCTTCGTGTCGTGATAGCCTTGTTATATAAGTATGACCCCACACTCCGCTGGCCTGCTACTTTGAACACAAGCTGCAATGCAAGCTTCTGCAGAAAGGAACGCAAACAGCATTAGAACCATGCAAGGCAGCGCCTTGCTAGTAACCAGAGTCAGGTGTGACACAGCAGTTCGCGAACACGTCATAATCGTGACCCAACTAACCTTTTTGTTTTCAAATTCCTTGAATTTGTCCTGAAAAACAAAAGTTGTGGGAAGTCATTACCAGACCGGTCACCGTCACTGAACCCGTGCTCGCCCCAGAAGCATACATTGCGAACAAATCTCTTAGTTGAATTAGCACGCTGCGTTAGAGCAACATCACGGACACCTTGCACGCGGGTTTATAAATATCTGGCACCAATAACGACAGTCTCCATCCACAGCTGAATAAAGAAAAACATAAAAACGTTTAATGTTTACATTGCGGCGTCGTTCATGCAATTAAATCAAACAATCGCTGCGGAATCACGGTCAAGCGGGACGGGTGGCAGATGCGTGCTCCTTCGTTATTTATGCTAATCCATCTCTTCCTGGAAATTGCAAGGATCGACGCACGGGCGAGACGACGCACAGGCAGGGCACGCAGGGCCGCACGGCGGTGCATATCACCGGCAGAAAAGGCCACCGAGCAGCATGAACCACCAGGCAAACTCCGGAAATCCTCGCAACGGCGGCTTTTGGCTGACCATCGAACAAAGACGGTTCACCGCATCGCGTCAAATGCGCATCTGGAATGCTCTTCCTTCCGATATTAGGAAGCCACTGGAGCTATGGACATGTAAAACATCTAGATTGAAAACTCATTTCTTTAGGGCTGTTTTTGTGTTTCACTTCTTGTCCTTCCCCCGGCACCTCCCGATTAGCAGGGTTGGCTATGCATGGTGCGAAAGAAGTTCAACATACACACATACCCACACCACCATCACCAAACCGCTACCATTACTACCACAGCCAGTTTGCTACATACAGCGGGAAAGAATTTCAACATACGTATGACCCTACCTGCCACACAGCTTGCTGAAGGCTGTGCTGGAGCTCGGCATTGTCTGTCACGTCGGGGCAGCGCTGGGGGCTCGCGGTGAGGACGGACAGGAGGTGCTGGGATGGTGGGGAGTACTCGAGGCCGGATTCTGCATGAGACCAGGTAACGGCAGAACCGTCACCGCAAAACCAACGGCAACTGCCGATTGCATAACCACCAAGCCATCGCCTTCTCCCTTCCGCTGGATCCTGCAACTGTTGCACAGTTGACACTTGACCTCCAAGGACAAGTCTTCGAGCCTCATCGCCATCGTCTGGAGTCAGATCTTGCTCTTGGTCGCCAACCTCTGCGTGCCATTTCAACGCCTGTCCCGGTAACCTGCCCCTCCTCCGTGCTGCACAGTATCCCACCCAACGGAACCTCTTTTCTCATGATTACTTCTACAGTGCTTTTCTAGCACGTTTTATTGTAAACTTCTAAGTTGCAGACTCTATCTCGATGCATAATGCTCATCATATTCAACACAGCTATATACACAATACGACGTTATCACAATTAAACTAATGCTTTCGGTAAAGTCACGTAGAAGGGAAACAATAAAATAAAAATATGAAACAATATTTTTATTATTTTATTGTTTCCCTACTACGTGACTTTACCGAAAGAACCAAGAATATGAATCCCTGCAGTCACGAAAGCTTTAAATAAAAATTTAAACTAATGCTTTTCTACGAATTAAAGTGATCCAGATGGATATATATTCGACTTGACTGCTCACCACTTACAACCACAACCACATTGCCCTGATCCTCAGATCACACAACTGGCTCCCAAATACAATAATTCCTTGCAGCAGCAGCTTTTGGCCGTCCATCGAACAAAGATGGTGTTACCACATCGCGCGATTTCAGAAACGCTTCTGCGGGCGTCTGGAACGCTCTTACTTCCGATACGAGGAACGCTCTTTGTATTTAGTCGGTTCTCCTTCCCCGCACCTCCGATTAGCACGGTTGGCTAAGTATAATGCGAAATAAGTCCAACATACATACAGGGTCAGGTGGTGGCGGGTTTAACGACACGTTTATACATTTACACGATCTAACCCAAAAAAACCTCTTATGGATGATATTGTTCGCGAAAGCCTACGTGTTATACAGGGACTCCTCTACTTATGAACAAGTTAAGTTCCAGAGGTCTGTCGATTTCAAACATTTTGTATGGCATGTACACTAAACATGACGAATGGCTTTAAAAGTTGTATAATTTGCTGCAGATGCCACTGGTTCTTCACGTTCTACAGATGTAGATGGCACCTCCGCCTCTATAGTGCGGTGGTTGAATTTACGACTCTCGGACCGAACACGTAACTGGACATACGGACAGGTTTGTTCGTATCTCTGAAATTTCGTAAGTCGAATGTTTGTAAGTAGATGAACCCCTGTACATAGAACCGTATGACCTCTATGATCCTACAGCGATAAAATGAGGCTTGGCGTTGCTGTGGCCAAAGTGCTCAACTTACAATCGGACCGCGAGGTGTCCAAAACCAAGTCGGGCGGGGGGGGGTGTGGGATTGAGTTCGCCGATCATCCCCTCTAGCAAAGGTCAAACGAGCACCATTGTGCGAGCGGTCACGAGCGGTTGGTTGCTCTACGAGGGGTGCGGGTGCACTGTGGTGGCGGCCGCTAGCCCCAGAGAGCCGACCTTCGCACAGGAAGCGCTTGACAGCCTCGATGCCCTGCCGGACGACGTCCTGCGGCGGAAAGGAAATCCTCCCCACGTCCAACTGCAGCGTCTGGCGCAAACAACAGCAGGAGGAGGAAGCAGTGGACGCTACTGCAAGTGGCTCCGCTGAAACTGACGCGCATCGAACGGTTCCTGCCCCTGCCTCCCCCTGCACGATGCTATACAAAAATTGTCACATTTCAGGGGGTCACAATTCAAGAATCAATTATTTTTGCTCCTCATTTGGACTGCCTTGCGGGGTTTCGTATGCCTCCCTTGTTCAACTCATTAGCCTAAAAGTATAACGATTGTAATATACAGGCGGTCCCCCGCTTTCACGGCGTTACAATGTGTTCCTGGAAACCCCATCATATATCGGACCGTATTTTCCCATAGGCAGTAGAAACATTGAGAAACATTACTTGCGTACGTATTTTTCTTTTTATCAGCCACATCTAAAGGGGTTCAACAAATAAAAATCCACAAAAACACTTGAGAATAACAAAAGCTCCACGCCAAGTCGCATCGGAAACCAAACCGACACTGTTCAAATGCGTTCGGAGTCGTGCCGGAAGACGCGTCAAAAATAAAGTTTTAGATTTCTGCATTGATCCATAGCGAAGTGATGTAAACGTTTGTAAACGTGGATCGCCCTAAATCGGACCGTCGTATATCGGAGACCGCCTGTACAAACAATTCACAGTCCATGTGGAGCATCTACTGCGAGATGAAGGCATCCTCATGCTGGGTGCTGTTTAGATCAAACTGACAAAAGTTAACATTTTCATAAGTTTCGATTTAAAGCTTTCGTGACTGCAGGGATTCATCTCCTTGGTTCTTTCGGTAAAGTCACGTAGAAGGGAAATAATAAAATAACAACAAAACATAATAAAACATTACTTTATTATTTCCCTTCTACGTGACTTTACCAAAAGAACCAAGAATATTTTCATTTAGCGTTACATACATTGTAAATAATGAATTTTTTACACTCGCGATTGTACGCAGCTATCGTGAGCGGAAAAGTTTGTTTAAATGAATGAATAGTTCTAAGACGACCAATTAACATTGTGCAATTTAACACGTAGACTTTCGCGACCAATCCTATTCATAACTAGCTTGTTTACCCGTCCTAGGACGGAAGCTGTAATATTTACGAAAAAATTGAGCAAAATATAATTGTATCTTGTGTAAATTTAATGGCAGTGAATCTTGCACAAAACTACATCATAAAACACCTCACTTCATATCACTACATAACTGACCTTCAATTTGTCCAAATTCACTGCTCTGATACTTTATTCTCTTCTGCTTTCGGTCGCTGGGGTTGAAATAAATTGGAATTCGATACAATATCTGGAAAATCACCGAGAAATGCCTATTTTACCATAATGTAGAAGCGTAAATTAGACTTATCTTTTGTCTCAAGTGCCGAAGAAATAAAGACACCAAATCCACTTTGTTGCTGCGTAGAATTATTTATTAGATTCATTTTCAATAAAGAAACGTCAAACTTCCATTCCAGGCCATGAACTTTCCGTGCCCCTCATACGAACAAGGCAGTGAGTCTGTATAAATAAGTTACAATAGTCACCCATTATCTGTTTCATTTTTTCTGTAACTTAATTGTAATTGTACGTCGATCAGCCTGAAAATATTCTGCACGAGCTGACTTACGCTACAGCGATTTTATTACGAAACATTGATTAATATTCTTCCAATATTTTCGATTTCTCACGAGATACGGATAATTTTGTGCCGAATTCTATTCATTGCTGTGGTGTATTCGTTTTGCTCTCGTCATTTGTGTGATCCAGGTCACTCGTGCAAATGAGACTAATCTGGCCTCTCCCAAAAAATCAACTTGACACCTACCTCGAGTGTGCGAATATGAGCCAGGCTGAGCGGAAGTTTGGAGATCTGGTTGAGGCTGATGTCCAAGTTCCTCAAACTCTGCAAGCCGTCCAGATCCTTCGGCAATTCCGATATCTTGTTATCTTGTTGTCAGACAACAGCAGCAGCATCGCCAACACAGGGACATTACATACCGTCACTGGAAAGGAACAGCGCAAGGCGGGGCTGCCGTGGTGTTCCTCAGCACCTCACGACGCCGCTGAACTATTTGAAATCCGAATGCACGACAGTGGCTGCCGAGAAGAAAGCAGCATGTCAGGCGTGGCAATCCGGGGACTGCCCTCTTCAGCGTTCGTGTGCAAGGTATGCGGTCACTCATATCAGTCTACTGAATCGTACAAAGATACGCGGATCATGCTAAGAAGCTTCTCTCAGGCAGTCATTGTTCATCCGATGCTGACTCCATGGCATCTTTTACCCGGCTGGGTGGCGGCGTGGTTAGAGCGTTCAACTCACAAGCGGAAGTCGACGGCTTCCAAGGAGTTGAGGTGACCATGTGGCTCGTGCCGGAGCACTAAGCGAGCACCCACTGAGCTTCTGCATTTGAAAACAGGTTTCAGCCACCCGTGGTTAAACCAGGTTCTCAAGTGTAGCCAGTTCATGGTCTCAACCTAACCATCAATGACTACAAAATAAAACCAATCACTGAATTTTGCTTTTGACTTAGTTTGGTGTATTCCAGCTCTGAGAATTAAGCAATTTTGTTCAATTGACATGTGATAAACACTATTTTCTGGATATATATATGGTGTGTTTCCCTTGTGATATACAGATGCAAGTGAAAGTGGCTTCAAGAGCAGTTACGTGATGTCATCTATGATACAGGGTGGTGCACCGCTAGCTCCAAAAGATCAAGTCTTTGTCTAATGGCGACGCCAACCGCACAACTGGAATAAAATTGGGGGGGGGGGGGGGCGAAGAGATACAGCAAAAAAGTGTGGGAGTTCAAATCTGGGTCAAAGGTCAACCCATGCTTCTTGGGTTGATACATGAGTACCACTTTGTGCAAAGTCAACAATGTTAATCCATACCTGTCAACCCATACCGGTTTACCCGTATTCTTGTACAGCGAAATTGAGTTCAGGTCCATAGAGTGTACAGCTGTTTCAATATGGGGGAATTCTTTTATTTATTTATTTGTGTTTCTCCTATGTGATGGGAATTTGTAGGGTGAACGTTGAGATTCATAAGGGCACGGGGTGACCAACAAGGTCTGAATTGGTCTGTAATAAGGTAGGCACTGATAAGGGATTGACAGGTGTGTTCATCCTACTCATTTATTTATGACCCACGAATGTCTGAAACTTGGCGAAACTTTGACATCGTGCCAAACGGAATCCCAGGCGCGCAGGCAACGCCCTCTTTGCTTACCCCGCACGTTGAGCGTCTGCAGCTGCCTCAACCGAACCACGGATTCGGGCAGCGCCATCAAATTGTTGCCCTCGACATTCAGCACCTGGGAAACGAGAGAAAAAAAGGACAGGCTACCGTTTCGTCGCCGGGTAGAGTTTACTGGAGCAGCGGCACGGCGTTGCGGTAGCGCGTTTTTACGCTTGTTGCAGGCCGAGTCGCGGTTCAAACACCCGGCAGGCCCGCCCTGGTTATCGCGGCGATCTACCTTGGCCGAAAAACACGCGCAACTTCGCGGTGGACGCCAACAATCCCATGACGTAATTCGAATAAAAGAGTTTGCCACTATGTGCCGGTGTCATGGTCTAAATTTGAAAGAAAAACAAAACATTTGAAAATTACTTAATTCGGAAACACCCCCCAGTGTGAAACTACTGCAGCCTGTGATACGTAGCACCTTTGTGAAAATAAGGGTGCAAATATAAAAATGTACCATCTTTCTTTCTTATCTGAGCGACAAAGAGCACGATGGCAGATCCTCAACACTTACATTAAGAACCTAGGAGAGGGAGTGGTTTGATTGATCGAATATGCACCACAGACGATGTTAAATGCCAGCAATCCAGTGCTCTTCAGGCACGGGTTAGTGGATCACATAGATGTGGGGAACTTCCAAATTATCTAGGCTTTGGCGTGACCAATAGACGGCAGGTGATGTCGGCTTGTGTGAGTACTCATGTGTGGGTACTAATGTTCAGGTTTATTTTCTTGAACCAGGTGAGATCCCAAGAGACAAAGATAAGCATCATCTGCGAGAAGTGACCTGGGCCATCAGTCTGCCAGTAGGGAGCAATGATTGCGATGTATAATCCCAACTCAGCAAAAGGTTTCCTCTCATACACAAAACCCTTCTTTAAAAAAAACAATAGGCCAAATATTCAGACGCAGAACCCTCTTGAAATAGTTTTAAAACTCAGCGAGGCTTTCCTGGATAAATAATTAAGACTACATATTTAATTACATGATTATTATAATATTAGAGTTTAAGGCCTAAAGGTAGTAGGTTCTTCGCTCACATTTCCTCCACCGTATCCAACGTTGTGCTTGCCTCTTCACGTTGTCAAACATCCTTCCATCCCTTCATTGTCAAGCAGCACTTTTCTTTTCAAACTCTTGTATTTTTTCCCTTCCAAACCTCTTTCTCGAGCTTCCTCCGTCAATCTTTCACCTCTGACAATATGCACTGTCCAGCTGTTTTGGTCCTCTGTGAGTGTCGCTCCAATTCTTTGTGAATCCCCTCCAGAGCTTTTGACATTATTCGCACCGGTCAATCTCATTCTCCCATTCGACACCACAGCCACATCGCAAAATGTCCAGCATTCTGATGTCGTCCCTTTCTCAATGGCCACATCTCTGCGCAATACAAAACCACCCTCCGCACTAGGGGTGTTTGTGTCTCCTGTGTAATTCCCAACTCATCCGTCGTGTGAGCAGCTTTGTTCTCACCGAAATGTAGGTTTTCTCAAGGCAGTTTTTATTCTAATAGCCTTCGAGCATCTGCCGCCTTTTTTTTACAAAAACACTTCCCAGATACGTGACCTGTCTCACCTGTTCTAGCTCAATGTGATATTTTTACGTGTTTCCACTTTTCCAAAACATTTTTATTATTATAATCGATCAACTTTCTTTCTCTTAACACTGTCTATCAGCTCCTCATCTCTGCTACTGCGAGCATCACGGTAGTTTCCACAGCAACTCTCTCGTCGTCCCTCTTCCTTGTCGGTGCTAATAAACCTAACTCATTCATTATTATCGGGATGCATGCATTAATCCTGCCTCCGACTTCAGGATGCAGTCTCCACACTTGACGAACTGCCCAAGACTCCAAGAGCCAAACTGAGGCAGCCTATTTTAAATTGTTTAAGACTAAGCGGAAGAACGTCTCAAATTGGCCGGCAAGGCATCGTTAACCTTGGCGGTGAGGTCACCTGCAGATGACATCATTAACCGTGCACGGAACATGGTTCAGACGTTGGGCTGATTATTGCCATGCTGCCTCATTGACTTAAATTTTCACTTACCTGCAGAGCTGAGAGTTGCCACATCTCTTCAGGCAGAGCCTTGAGCTTGTTGGCATGCAGATCCAGCACCTGCACCACGAGGCTGTGTTAATATCCACGTGAATGAGACAAACGACCTCACACAGAAAAAGGGTGGCAAGAGGAGTGATGGATACGTCTAGGTCCCATTATGGAGAGCAGTAAGTCCCCTTCGTGAAAATTCATTTTTTTATATATATAAATGGTTTGAATAATTCATTATTGATTTGTTCAACACATAGGCTTTCGTGACCAGTATTATCCATGTAGTGGGTCAGAAACCAGGGGAGACACCAGTTGAGGCAACACGACATTTATTAACACTCTACTTTTTACAGGGTCCCTAACACAAGGGGTAGCGGCCCCTTCACCCGATACCTGGGGAGGTATGCCCTACGGAATACACGGGCCTAACACTGGGACCCTGCTAATTTCACGTCCTCCGGCTCAGGGCCCTAGGGGAGGCTATACTGACCCGACCGTGCCAGGGTCTTCGGGTCCTGACCACTGGCCTCACTGAGCTCCAGCCCTTAGAAGGACGGCGGAGCTTGGGGTCCAGGGTCCTATCTTCAGCCCAGGTCTTCAGTCTTCGGCTTGGAGGTAACCGACTCTATCGTTGTGAGGTCCGACTTATAGACAGGTCCGGGGCTTGCTCCGCCCCGGCCACGCCTTGCTTCCAGAACTTCCCACCAGGTCCTGGAAGGGTGACGTCATCCCCCAATCCCCCCTCCCGAGGTTTGAGAATTGTGTCCCAGGATCCCAGAGATCACCGTTGGCCCCTTTGGCCATAGTTCTTTAACATTGGCTTTATTTTTTACCTATGTGACTTTACCGAATAGAACCAAAGAGTATGGATCATTGCAGTCACGAAAGCTTCAAATCTAGAATTGGCGTAGCCACTCTTCCGCCCCCTGTTGACCCAATAGTGATGCTACCCGCTAACAACATGGGGAGCACGGAATAACACCTTTCACATCCATAAGATATTTTTTTTGGGTAAGGTTTGTCACGTAAACAAAAATGGCAATTAGTTACGAGTGGGTTTATTCTCCAACACACCGGTGTGCTGAACTAGTAACTAATTGGCATGTGTAGAGCAAGCGTCACTTCAATAAAGTAAAAATAAAACAATTTGTAACGCGCGCAAATTTCACAAAACAGTTCAACCGTCGTTCGATCCTAGATTTGAAGCTTTCGTGACTGCAAGGATCCATACTCTTTGGTTCTATTCGGTAAAGTCACGTAGGTAAAAAATAAAACAAAAATCACGACGTTTCGGCCACAACACAAGCAGCCTTCATCAGGTGAAGGGACCAGACTGTCTCGAAGACTGCGCTGAAGTGAAACAGAGCCAAGCTCAGACCATGTTCAATCGTGAACTCGGTTCCTCGTGTGCCATCATTAAACCAGCGCGGCGCCTTCAGCTGACTACTGAAGGTAGAGGGGAGGTTTGACTGCCTTTGTATGCGTAGCGGGAGATTGTTCCATATTGCTGGGGTAGTCATGGAGGAATGCGCTCAGCCACAGCAGCTCAATGATAAAGTTTTGAACCTAACATTGAGGTGTCTCCCTGCTCTAATGAGCTTTGCTCCACTCAAATAACAGCGGTTGCCCCATGGTTAGATATCGCTTCCTGCCATGGGAAAGTGGAGTTTTCTATGCTAGCACAGGGCCTTCAACAGACACAAGCACCACTCCACTGATTATTTAAACAGAGAGACACGCTGAGTGACTTGTGATTATTATAGTGATTCTCAGTGCGCTGGTAACACCTCCAAGAGTCACCTTCAAGCCAGAGAAGTCCAAGATGTTTCCACCACTGGTGAGAGAGGTGAGACAGTTTGTGTGAAGGATCAGGACCTGAAAATAAAAACACGACACACCCAGGCTACACGTATGTACACAATGCGACAGCACACAAAGACCCCCAGTGTAGCAGTATACTTTAGGGCCAAGGCTGGCGTGACACTCACGAGTACAATCTGGCCAGCACCATGGCTGGCCATCTTTGTCTCTGGAGTTTTGATATTTACACACTGCACAATATTCCCCTTGAAAGCTAAGTTAACCGAAGTGAGGCCATGAATGGGGAATGGATCTGGATACCACTTGCCACGAACGATGTTTAAGTTTAAGTGCATGGCCAGAAAGAGAGTCCAGGTCACCCAAATGACAGCGCCTCCACTGCTCCTCATAGGCGAGGGCATCTCAATAAGTGAAGAGACAAAATCTACCTTGCACTCGGCTGTGCTCCAGAAGGAACCTTGCAGTCCTATCGACTGCCTTGATCAGTCTCGCCTCTGTTTGGGCCAAAACAAGCCGATCCTTCGAGTGGGTAGGAGTGCTTGGGAGACATCTGTCCACCAGCAGCATGTGTAGGAGAGGCTTTGATAAACCAGCTCAGGGGCTGGACCCAGGATGCCTGGTGGTTCAGCACTGAGTGCTGTAATGGCCACCACTGGGACTGGAAAATGCTCATCACTCAAAGCTCTTACATTCCATTTAGTTATTTATTGGGAATGCTGCACAATCAGCAGACTCGCTGGTCTCACGATAAACACATAAACAGGCAATGCTCACACCATGCCCATCATGAGCCTGAGCTAGAGGAGCCTCACAGTCCTTGAGCACACGATCCCTCTTCTTGATTGCAACTCAGGATTTCTCTCAGGGGCAGGGCGCCGATGTTGCGAGATGTTAACTGCCTCGCCTGGTATACTGGAGGTCGTAAGTTCGATCCCGACCCTGACGCCTTTATATTTGGAGTTTGCATGTTCTCCCTGTGGTCATGTGGATTTTTCTCCGGGTCCTCCAGTTTTTCCCTCCACATTTAGAAACATACATTTAGAATTTTTGGCTGCTATAAATTTGCACGTAATAAGCCACTTCGTTGAGCTATAATTTGTGGCCAGATCTCTTCTGAAAAAGAGCTATATCGCTCAGTGGGCCTTATCTGGTAAAGTAAAAATTGTTTATAATTTAGTTTTTTTAAAGATTAAAATGGATTTTTGCTATCACTATAAACACATAAAATTATGCGTGTCAAATGTATTCTTTTAAATTAATACATTGAAACAAATTTCTTTAGAACTGCTTTTTGTGTTCAGTTTGTTGTCCTTTCCCCACACCTCCAATTAGCACGGTTGTCTATGTATGGTGTGAAAGAAGTTCAACATACATCTGTTTGCATTTGTACTAGCAGGAACCCACCGATGGCGAATATGTACAGAGACTGATGATTTCATAAACTGATGATTTCACACTAAAATAAGATTTGATATATATGCTAAATAGAAGTTACAATTATCGCACAATTGTATCTCAATAACAAGAACAAACTATCCAATTCTTTGCAACCAACACTGGGAAAGAGTGCGAGAGAGACAGACACATGAACAATACACGTACAGTAAGTACGATGAAACAAAAACTTGGGGACACACACCGAGGCTGCAAGCTCTATCCACTGCGCCTGTGATTGAGCTGAATGGATGCACTAGCTTTCTTTAAGAAAGAACATGACGTCATCACACCACTCCCCCCACCGTCTCTCAACGTCATCACACACGTCATCACACCCGTCCCCCACCTCACCATCCCAGGTCTCGTGATGTCATCACCCCCATTCGCTCCGTGTCTCATGATGTCATTACCCCTTTTCCTCCACCTCACCCCAATCCCGCGTGACGTCATCACTCCTTTACCTTACCTCGTCATCACACCTCTCCCTCACTCTCCAGTATCACGTGACGTCATCACCCCTCTGTTCCACCAAACTACCCCAGGTCTCGTGACGTCATCACTCACATTCGCTCCCTCCGTATCTCGTGACGTCATCACCCCCTCTCCTCACAACCTCAACACCCCAGCATCTCTGACGTCATTGACCCCTCCTGGTGCGTTACAGGGTGGATGGGGTTGATTCTAACATCCCCACTCGAGGTCATGAGGGTTTGTTAAGAGATTGGATGGGCTTGATTGTAACGTCCTCAATCAGTGGCGTTGGCCCTGTACCACGCCCTGGTCGCCCACGCCCCCATGCCATCCAGCCACCTAAGGACGAGGCATTTCTTACCTTCTTCTGCAGAACCCTGCATGTCGAATACACCGCAGAGGGGATCTGAAACAAGTGCAGTGCATCAGTAACATTGACATCTGACATGCACACAACTCCTGCTCACCGCTCAACGAGCGATAGTGGTGCTTATTAACCTGGAGCTGTGATGGTAATTCCACATTCCTAAGGCCAGGGCTAGTGTCTGGATAGAACAACCGCTGTTGACTTTCCACAATGTGGTACTCTTTTAATTAATGCTGGAAGGATAATAATGATGATGCTGATATGTTAAAGCACAATCTTCTGTGAATTGGCAACTCTAACCACATTGAGTAGCAAATAAATATAAACTCCCGCTTCATCCATACGGACACATTTACGCAAGTCTCTCCAATAACGGAATGCAGAATATCCGGAAGCAGGCTTACATGAAATATTATTTTTTAAAATGCATCTTCTATCTCAGAGAGAGTCAAGTGACGACGTGCAAGTGCGTCTGGAGGCACATAATGTAATGGCTCCCCAATTAGAATTGATTCTTAGACTTATGATATATGCATTACATCGTATGCGTGAAAATCTATTTTACATATATGTGCACTCTGCATTCCATTAATATTCCAGACAGATCATAATGATAAAAAAAAATATTCACAATTTGAATTGAAACCCTGAATCACTACAATTCACCGAATCACCAGTGGACTTGTGAGTAGCTCCGTGTGCTTCCGTGCAAAGGAACCGCACTGGGGTAGCCCGAGCGCTTCCATGGTGACCTGAAAAGTAACCTCTGTAATTGATGGTTACTCAATATTTTATAGGTAACATAATACAAGTCTGCATCTGGTATTTCCCAAAGTAGCAGAATTTAATTAGTTTATTTTTTTATTACTTTATTCAAAATGATTAAACATGAGCAACAGGAGCATTCTGCTCTGCCTGTAGGCCACGTGTTGTGATGTGTGTGCAAAGACTCCGGGTTTCCTCACATTAACCCACGCAGCTGACATAATTTCCTACATTTTCTTTGTTATAGATATATTTTTTTCTAAATGTATGTAATTATGCTAAGTAACTGAAAAGTGTACATTCAAACCTAACTACTGGCATTATATTGTGGTAATCTGACCACGGTAATGCATTCCCTACACACTGGGTTCATGGCAGTGAGAGAGAGATGATGAACGTGTTGGGGTGATAGGACTGTGACATTTCACAGATAAAGTCCAGTGTGTCACTGTACAGTGTTAAAAGCGTTGGAGGGGAAACCAACACTGCATGACTGGAATAGAAACTCACCTCTCTATTCAAGTGAGCAAATGTGTAAGTGGGTCTTTTTGGAATAGGTGTGTGTACGTGCACACACAAGAGGAAGCAGTTGCAAAGTGAACAGCACGATGTGCTATGAACCCCGAGACCAATGTTCTGTTCCTGGCCATGGCTAACTTCAGAGACAAGTGATGTATGGACAAGTTCTGAGTCTCTCCTAAGCTTTATCTGTGTACCTGGTGGGGTGTCTTAATTATCAGAGATGGGCAGACCAAGGTGGCGAGGCGTGATGCTAGCTGCTGCACCCCATCGTGCACCAGTTGCAGGCATTAAACAGTGTTTACTCACAGCACTTATTCCAACTGTGTGATAAAGCTTCCACTTTTATATAAGAGAGTAAATATTGACACACGTGGCCTCACTGGAGCCAGAATTAATTCGAGTAACTCAGCAGACAATGCCCATGGGCTATTTAACCTGAGACTTTCAAAGAATTAAAATATGTTTTGATAACAATGTATCATATTAACCAACTTCAAACATTAAAACAAAGCCCTTTCCAGCTCCTAAAGTTGCATATTTCTGTCACTTAAAAGGTTAACTCAAGAAAAATCCCAAAAACAAATCCAGTATTCTCTCGTTATTCACCAAGTTGCTATCAGCGATCTTCGCTATCCTCGAATCGCATCTGGAACTCGAGACGACCGCATCGAGAGAGAAAGTGATGGGATACATGGATGCGAGATACAGTTACGGGAGAGAGTGCGATGCAAGAAAGTGATAATGACGCTACTGTGCAGCAGCATCATCATAATTTAAGGCAAGTTTATTTATAAGCTATTATTATGTATACTTTCATATTTATTGCTATTTACTTTGTTTGTTACAACCAATTTGTATTGTTTTGTGTCATTATGATAATTCCCATGTATTTAATAGCTTATTTATTTTACGGTAATTAATTAGAAAGATAGGTTTTCATAGGCCAATGTCATTATCCGCAAAATTTGCTATTCACAAGCATCTCTGGAACGTATCCCTCTTGAATAACGAGCAAACGCTGTAACTCATTGTTTAGACACACACAGCACTGCCACAGATGTAGCCACGTATAACCACGGCCGCAGGAAGCAACGAGATTCCTCACCTCTGTGAGCTCGCACTGTGAAGCGTCCAACACGTCATCCGCCCCAGCCTCCTTTGCCTGGCCAGACACACACCACCACAAACCAGATTCAGCAACACGGATGTGTAGATATGGAAGTGTAGATATATCGTCTTAAAATGCCTTTCGTGAGTGTTTGTGACGAACGTGTTGAGTTTTATTTTAGTTATGTGTGCACCGCTGCCAATGCAGTTATCACCAAACATTTGGATTAGTAAAAAAAACCTCTGCTAACAGATTTAATTGTCTGTTATAACGATGAGTGGGGACTGTGCTTAAGAGAGCCCGGCTGTAAAAAGATGTGAGTTCAGATCCTGATGACGGACAGATTAAACCCATAATCATCATCCCTTCAGTGTCGATAGACAAGTACCATTTTGTGGAAAGTGAATCGTGGCTGTGATATGGATAGAGCAGGGGTGGCTCTTTAAGGAACTGTTTCATGACACGATATTTATTAAGGGCCCCACCGTCTCGTGTTCACGTGCATTGCGGCTCTTGAAAAATTTAGTTTTATTTTACAGAATACTAAAAAAAAAATGTCTCTTCTTGTTATTATGAATGTCGATCCCTGGGATCGAGTGAGCTGTACCCTAGCACTGTAAAATGTTCACACTTTTAAAAGCAAAAAGGGCTGCGGCCGCAACTAATTTCAACAGAAACACATTCGCCAATAACACCCGTCGCTTTAAACAAAAATGTTTTAGGTGACGATTATGGGCAACGGCTCCGCTGCACGGCACATCGAGAAGGCAGAGTGGGGGAAAAACAAGAGGCAGAGTTGCTTCGTGCGCCACGGGCCAACGCAACACCGCCAAACAATTCGTTTCAACAGAGACCCCCCGTGATGGATAACGCTGCAAGATGCCCACCGGTCAAAAGAGCAACGCCGTCCTTTTGTGTTCCCGAACCGGTGGTAGAATTTCCACGTGACGATCGCAGCTACCGATTCTTCACGAATGGAACCAGGGTCGCCTTCATTTCCACGGTGCGACCTTGCCGAGGACGACGCTCGGTTTATACCGAGAGCGTCCGAGAGAATGACCGACCATGACGATGATGGAGAGGGACGTCGACCACGTTCAGGAGTTGAACTCATGGGCCGATGATTTTGGAGCTCTGCTAAGACACGTCCAAATCATAATCTATTTTTTTTTATTATAAACATCCACTGCCCCAGTGTCACCCTACTCTCACAATCCACACCACTTGCAAGCGGTGGTGTATATTCCACATTCATATGAAGTGGATGTCAGTCCACTATAGCCACAATTGATTGGACACAAAGCGGTACACATTTTATTGGCAATGGAGCGATGATGATGATGGTGTTCATGATCAATTGTTGATGATGTTAATGATGTTGATAACGGTGTTAATGATGACCAGGATGAGGAGTGATTGTCAAAGTAAAAAAAAGTCAATCATATCCTGTTCCAGGTCCCAGCCCGGGAGAATCTCTAGGCAGGACACAACACTGCAGACACCGCAACAGAGGGCTGATGGCCCCAGTCAAAACCAAATGATGGTTGAAAATAATGACGACGATGTTAATGAAACGCCGTTTATAATATTGACGAGGGTGTTGTGATTGTTACGCAAAATGCAGCACGTGAGGGGCTCACAAGTGACGCCATCACATCTATGCCTCTATTTAAGGAACGAAACAGCTGGGTTTCTCTACAAATATTGCTGTCCGCCTGATTAAGCTAGTTGCAATTACTGGCGAAACGTCGTACTCTGATTGTAAACGTTGTGGACTTGCTCTGCAACACACAAGCGGCGTGCCGTACTAGTAACGAATTGGCCGCGTTCTGTTTACGTGACAAACCTTACTAAATCGTCGTGTCGGGTGGTGCCGGGTTTAACGACACATTTACACGATCACCCCCCCCCACCTCCATCACGTATGACATTGATCGCGAAGGTCCCACGGGACGCGCCAACACTGACCAGACCCCTCTGGGCCCTCACGAGACACAAGAAGACGCCGCCCGCCGGGGTTGGGGACGCCGTCGTCACGCAAAGCGTCGTCGACGGCCCGACAGACCCCGCAGGATCCCGCGGGGAGCCCCGGTGAGGGGTTTGCGGGTTCCTCACCAGGCACAGCTGCAGCTGCAGGCGGCGGTCAGCGTCTCTGCTCGGCTTCTTGCGTCCAAACAGCGGCATGGCGCTGCCGCTGCCGCACGGCTCTCCACCTCCACCTCCTCCACCCTCCTCTCTCCTCCCCTTTCTCCTCGCTGCACCCTCCAAGGCTGCGGCTCCCTTCACTGCTTCACCCTCAGGCAGAGACGACGGCGACGCGGGGAAACGCGCGGGCGGGCAAGGAAAGGCGGCGGCAGGAGCGGCGGCGGTGGTGGTAGCGGTGGTAGCGGACTGGGCCAGAGCGGGTGAAGAAGTTCACCCAACACAGCCGGGGGCGGCTCGATGCCTCCTTTGCGTTACCGAGCCGGAGTAGCAAACTGCTCACTTTGAACAATTGACGCCTCGGGGTTGTTGTGTGCTGGTGGGTGGTGGTGGGGAACGACGTGGTTGGTGGTGGTGGTGGGGGGGGGCAATTTGAGTGGCCCCGGAACGCGGATGGCTTCTTGTGTTAGGAGCGACGTCAAGATGCGCGTGGGTAGATTGCTAAGATGGCTCACTCGCAGCGTGTGCGTGTGTGCGTGTGCATATTATTTGGTCTATTAAACTATTTAATCACGGGATCCTTATTGTTGTGCCAGTATCAAAGTATGAACAATTAGAATAGGCGTTTACCATTTTCTGGCAATTAAAACAGGAGGTGTTAAGACGTTCAAACACCGAATAGATACATTTTGCAAGGGATCAAGTCTGCATTAACCACGCACTTGAGGTGACCATTCAAACAAACATGCTCTGATAACGCTGTGTAACAACATTTTTTTGGAGTTCCTGGGTCGTAAGTGTAATTTCCTAATTGCTTATGCCTCAAAAGTACAGAAAGTGGCTATTATTATTCCCCCACAAATTTTGCTTTTGATATTTTGAAATGTACCTATTTTCAATGAAAAAACAGGCGAATTTGTGTCTTTTTGTTCACGTAAAGTCAGAAAAAAAACAACATGAATCAAAATTAACATGTATTTATACTAAAGTAATACAAAAAATGACGACAAAAGATTTAGAAGTGAGCAGATGGAAACGTCACAGCCAGTTGCGACTTCAACTGGTTAATGACGTCCTTCTGTGGTGCCACCACAGCGGAGCAGCTCGGCCGGCGCTACCCCCCCCCCACGCACGCCCCACTACACACTCACATGCACCCACGTAGGGTCTCGAGGAGGGATCACCTGGTACGATGGGTTTTCGCCCGAGGACCCCACTAGCAGGGACGTTCCACGGTTTCCCCGGACCAGGAAGTTGGCTGAGCCCCCCAGACCGGATTACATGGCGGCCCCCCAAAAAAGGGGGCATTGAGCTTTACAGGCCGGCCACGATGAAGCATACACAACACGGTGGGGGGGGGACCTTCAGCCAGTACCCAGCAGCAGGGTAAGTGTGATGCCGCCGCCACGGAGCCGATCGGCGGGCGGCCCACCTGCGATCTCGCCGCTCCGAGCGACGAGGCCGACATTGCTCCACCCCACCACCTCCCCACCCCCCCCCCCCCCCCCCACCGGAACACACACGCACGCACTCCCCCACCATTAGAGCGCGTGGGGAGACACCCTGGCCGACAGGTTTTCACCCAGAAGCCCTCGTAAAGGGATAATCTTCACGGTTTCCTGCAGCCAGGGAATTGGACGGTCTCCCCCGACGCTAACACCCACCGCGGCGCCGTGACTTTGGTTGTAATTACATGGTCACGACGGGGCTGCCGAGCCACCGCGGGTAGACAGCACACACAACACACACGGGTCAGCAGGCAGGTAGGAGGGCAGAGCCACGAGCGGCGGGAAAGCAGGGTCGCCCTCTGGCTGGAGGGTCGCTGAGCAGGTAAATTTAGATGCGGACGTCGCTGAAAGCAACGGCCCGGGGGATGCTGGGATACAGATGGGCCTACCGATTGGCGGGTGATCCCAGCGAGCTGATTGGCCCGCGAGTCGGCACCAGGTAGCCCCTTTGATGTAGAAAGAATAAAGCGGGTCAGGGCGAAGGAAAAAGGGTCTCTGGCTACTCGAGTCGACCCCAGGTCCGTCAACTCCCGAGTCCAGCCGCGCGAACGTCCGTGGGACGTATCGACGCGCCGCGAGGACCAGACGGCAGTGACGACGAACCGTGAGTAAGAGAGAGAGAGGGAGTTGGGACTTAGCTTAAGAGCAAAACAGGAGAGGGTAAAGGGGAGGACAGGTAGAGTGTAGTGCCGACTATCGAGAGATAGATCGGTCCTGCCCCGCTGATCCCGACTGACTCGGTTAAATAAGGGCTCGCCGACGCGGTGGAATAAATCGTCGGCGGTTACATAACGGACTGGTGTGGTTTTTTGTGGAAGCGTGGGTGCGCTTGCTGTCGCGGTGGTCGTTACATAACAGACTGGTGTGGTTATTGCGGAAGCGTGGGTGCGCTTGCTGTCGCGGTGGTCGTTACATAACAGACTGGTGTGGTGGTTTTTGCGAGGGTGTGGAAAGAGAGTGGAAGCGTGGGTTCGCTTGCTGTTCTCGGTGGTCGCCGCGTGTGTGGAGCGGCGCCGCGTGGATTGTGTGCGCTACGAACCGTCGGCTGCGGACTCCTGCGTTGCGAGCGGATACCCGTCTCGCACGCATGCCCATCGCATAGCCCTTTAAACCCGTTTAAACCAATCCCCCCAAGCGTCGGAGTGAGCACGAACGACGTCGCTTACCCTCCGACCTTTGACCCCCTGTTACCCGCGTGTGATTGGTGCGTGGGACTGCGCGGGCGGGGAGCGTCGCGTTTGGGTGCCGGCGAAGCGCTAGCGGGTCCCAGGGGGGTCGAGTGGGATGCCCCACCGGCAGGAGACCCGGACTCGGGGGGCGACGGCACAGGGGGGGGAACAGGAGCGCGACGACCTTTCCCCGCCAGGGGAGGAGTGCGGCGGCGGCAGCTCCCACACTAGTGGAGAGTCTGGGAGCGTCGGTACTTCGCGGACAGGGTCGCAGGCAGGGGAGATCCCGGGGGCCGGCGACCCTAACAATATGGTGTCAGAAGTGGGATGAACCCCCGCGTTACCCCACGCGAAAATAAGGCATATATTCACTGGCCGGGGTACACCTTCATGGAGAGCATTTGCCCGCAACGTCCTAGGGGCTAAGGAAATTAATGGGTGGACGGACGCGCAGACGCTACGTCAACTTAATATGAATCTGGATGGGCGGGCAGCCGATTTTGTGGAAGCCCTACCCGCAAGCGCGCAGACACAGCTAGAGGAGCTGATGCGCCGACTTGATCTGCGCTTCGGTACGCGCGATGAGGAGGAGGCAAAAGCGGCCTTAGAGGCACGCCGTCGCCAACCCGGCGAGGACCTGCGCGATTATGCCGAGGATGTGCGTGAGCTAACAAAGATCGCACGCCCGAGGCACACCACGGAAGCGATTGAGGAGCTGGCCACAGAGAAAATCCAGCGATACTTAATGCGCACGGCGTGGTGGCAGCCAGACGTGAACTGTACGCGCCTCTCCTTTGATGCCCTTGTCGAGCGCGCGCGCAAATGTGAAAGAATTTCTAGCGAACGCGCACAGCTCCGAGGACTGGGACGGGAGCGCACCATCGCAAGTCTGTCCACCGAGGAGGAAGAGGAGGAACAGGAGCTCACCAGGATGGTAGGGGGTCGGGAAAGGGGGCCTCCGGTATCCCGCGAGACCACCCCGGGATGGGTAGCGGGGATACAGGCGGGCATCGGGGGGATCGACAACAAAGTAACCCAAGTGGACAACAACGTAACCCAAGTACGGGCACATGTGACTACGCTGCAGACTACGGTAGAGACGATTCAGACCGAGTTGGGAGGGCTAGCTGGGAGGGTAGCCCGACTAGAAGCAGAGTCTGGGCAGCGGCGCACGGGGGGGAGAGGGAGCGGGCAGGGTGCCCACTATGGAGCCGCCACCCCCCCCCCGGGCGTGTTATATGTGCGGCCGTCAGGGGCATCTCATGAGAGACTGCCCACAGATCGCCCGCGCTAGATATACCGAAGGGTTAAACGCCAACGCCCCCTAGAGAGTGGACCACCTAGGGGTGCAATCACCGAGGTCCCGAAACAAAACGACGATAATAATAATGGTAAGCAAGTGACACCCACACAGGTCACGGCCACAACACCCAAGGACGCGGTGAGGACGGGCGACTGGCTACGGGAGCTGGTGGCAGGAATCACGGGGGCCACGTCACTGGTGGAAGGACAGGTGAACGGGCAGCGCACCCGGATCCTACTGGACACGGGGGCCGTGGCCTCACTCGTGAGCGCCGCGCACTGCAGCGTGCTCGGGGTTGACGTGAGCCGCCTGCCGGCCCCGGATTGCGCGCTGCACACGGCGAGCGGAGCCGGGATGGGGTTGCTGGGAAGGATCTCCCTCGAGGTCCGTCTCGGAAACCAGGTGTGCACTCAGGAGTTCTACGTCTCGAGTGTGCTGTGCCACGAGTGTATCGCAGGTACCGACCTCCTGGAAAAGCTGGGGCTCAACGTGCAGCCCCGACAGCGGTGCGCCACCGTGGAAGGCAGCGGGGAACGGATTCCATTCCTGGGACGGGAGCCGAATCGCCCCCGCTTCACACCTGTGGCCGCTACCCTGACGACGGCCGTCACCATCGGGCCGCTCGCCGAGATGCTGGTACCTGTGGCGACACCCTCCACCGACCCCGCGCACCGACCATCGGGGGAGGTAATGCTAACTCCTCACCCGGAGTTGGCAAAACGATACGGGGTTGTGGGGTCAGCCACGTTGGTAAACGCCGATGGGGGCCGATTGTTCATGCGTGTGTTTAACCCCCACGGCACCCCAGCAATACTACGACGGCGCACCACAGTAGCCACCGTGCACCCCCTACACGCGCGCCACTCCAGCGACTCGGTATTCGCACTCTGGGCGGAGGACCCCGGTCGCCCCGAGGACCAACAAGACCTGGCCTGGCGAGTCGGCCCGACTCCCCACGCCGAGGTCGTCCCCCTTCTTGACGCGGTACACGTACCTTGGGCAGATTTACCCAAGGGAGAGGCCGATCAGCTACGCGGGTTACTGCGGGAGTACGCCGACGTGTTCAGCGAACACGATTCAGACGTGGGTCGCACAGATCTCGTTAAGCACCAAATCGACACCGGGGCCGCCCGACCCATAAAACTCCCCGCGTACCGCGTGGGCGCACCCGAACGCGCCCAGATCAAAGAGGCGGTCAGGGACATGCTCCGCGATAACATAATTCAGCCCTCGGCAAGCCCCTGGTCTGCCCCGGTGGTGCTAGTAACAAAAAAGGACGGGTCAACCCGGTTTTGCGTCGATTACCGCAAACTAAACGCAGTCACCCTCGGCGACGCCTTCCCCATACCGCGCATCGACGACACCTTTGACAGCCTCGCCGGAGCGCGGTATTTTTCCACCCTCGATCTCGCGTCCGGGTACTGGCAG